TTGGTCTCGATCAGTCGCGCTCTTGGTATCGATGAGTGCCAGTAGGAATATACCGAAACTGAAGATCCACTAACAAGGATGAAAATTTTTCTCTTCTAAGAACCACCGAGACTCTACGAGATTATTATTCAGAATTGCTCAGCTTGTCCTCAGCTAGCTATGTGTATAGCCCGATAGACCGATGACGAAAGGAAAAGGTCAGATCTCGACCAGTCTCTGTTGGAAAATTGAAAAAATTAAAATTTTGACTAAGACTGATCGAGACGGGAACATTTTTTTCTATGATCGGATTGTTCTGTTGTACGAACAGCTAGATGAAACTGAAATAAGTAGTTCGAAATAAAAATTTCGATGAGTCTAGTAGGTTCTTCGCAGTAAAAAGTGCTCATCTTTGTATGCAACACGTCATGCGTGGCACATGCCTATCGACACTTAGGGATGTATCGAGATCGGAGATAGAACTGGTACTGGTTACTGGCTGGTCCAGTCCGATACAGATTTCAGAATGTCCCGTTGCGGGTGGGCCGGTCAATTACCGTTAGACTGATCGGCAACTGGTAGGCCGATCATCACCGTTCCACCTTATTTACTTTCCTGCTCTTATTATCTTATAGAGGATGTATAATGAACTTTTGTTGAAAGTCGACTATGTCATAAATCACTATCCAGATTTGAAACCGATGCCGATCACGGATTTTAGAAGGGCCAGTCTGCTCCAGTCTGAGTAGGTCAGAACGATTTCATCTCTGACCGAGACTGATGATTCGCTGACGAACATAAGCATTTTTCTCTGCGAAGAACCTGCGAGACTCATCGAAACTCTTATTGCGAACTACTTATCTCAGTTTCATCTAGCTGCCCGTACAACTGAACACACCGAGCAGAGAGAAAAATGTTCATGTCTCGGTTAGTCTAGGGATGTACCAAGATAAAAGGTTTCCTAATAAAGATGAGAATTTCTCGAGCGCGACCGACTGAGACTCGACCTTTTCCTTTCGTGATTAGTCTGTTCAGTTGTATACACGGTCAGATGAATCCAAGTTGAGCTATTCACAATAAAAATCTTGTAGACCTTCAAGGATTCTTGGACACGAAAATTCTCATCTTTGTCAAGGAATGTTCAGCCTCGGCTAGCGATGTGCCGAGGCCGAGGGAGCGCTGAAAAAGACGAGAGTTTTTCTCTACCAAGAACCTCCGAGACTCTACGAGATTTTTATTGAGAATCACTCAGCCTGATTTCATCTAGTTGTGCAT